TTCCGACGACGTTCTGCACAAATGCCTACAATAGCTTGGGCTACCTGTGATCGCCTGGCTATTTTGATGCTCAACTCAAACTCTTCAAAGGCGAAAATATATAATTTTCAAATTTTCTCACGAAGAATAAAAGGAAATGTCACATATATATTTTATTTCACAAATTCGATGGTAGGTTTTTCATTAACTAAATAAGTTATGCAGGAGGCCCAGCGAGCCGTGTTCAAAACATGGATCGCCAGTCTATTTTGATGCTCAACTCCAACTCTTCAAACGCGAAATACAGACTTGGATTTTCAAATTTTCTCACGAAGAATACACAGAAATGTCACATATATTTTATTTCTTAAATTCGATGGTAGGTTTTTAGGATTGTCTTTAATATCATTGCATTTCTTCAAAAAGTCTTGAAATCTGGTGGCTCTTTTCGTCGAATTTGACACTTCATACGGACTGTCAGGTTACGCTTGAGTGATCACGGACTTTTTGTCACTCTTAAAGTGCTAGTCTTATCAAAAAACTAAAATTCTTGAAATTTATACAGAATAAAACATAAATACCAAATAGTGTTCTGGCCGTTTTTTGTGTCWATACGTCAACGAAAAGATATCTTTTTGAACCGATGAATTTCGCGTTTTCCGATCCGCCATTATTTGAGAGCGTGCCGTCCAACTCATTACATATTCATAGAAGTGACGTCAGAGTCGCACTCGCGCCAAATTTAACACGAGTTTTCGGTAATTTTCATCAAGAAGATGAACAGTCAGATACTTTTTTTTCGCAGTGTTTAATAGAGTTGAATGTAGAAAGATCACTTTGCGCCATATTGTTTCTCTTGTTGTCTCTGCTCGACAGCTGTCTTTTAGCATCAAAACTCAAATGGCCGAAACAGAGCTTTTATGGACCAAACTTTGTTTATTTTTCAGTATTTACGGTTATTTCAACGATATGGAATACATAAAACCTGTTTTTGAGGCGTGTTATTTTGGTAAGACTAGCACTTTAAGTTTGATATGGAAACATGTTAAGAATTAAAAAGTTAATTGTATTTTTGAAAGTTTTATTATCTCAAAATTATAGTAAAATAATTTCCAGCTKTCTCARGRATATTACTATTATTGATGATTTCACCATTTCAACCAAACGCAAGATATCGCAAACAATGAAAAACCTCAGCCCACTTCCTTGGTTGACGTCACTTCATTAGCATTTTCAATTTTCAAATGTCTTCAACTCAGAAAATAAAATTCAAACAACTTTTTTTCTCTTCAAAACAAGGCTTAGCATCATATTTGTCTTTTGTTAAAAAAATATTTTCTAAAAAGAATACATGTGCACTTTTAAAACAGCAGTTATGTATGTTTCAATTTGCCTAAAAAAACAATATCGTTAATGTTTAATAATTGTTCTGGTGGCATCTTTAAGTAATATATAAAATATAAGCGGGAGACCTTTTTGGGCACTTAAAACTGCGAGCTGCAAGAGAGCAGTTTTAAAGCTTATAAAGGTCGGACGTGAATATTTCATATTGCTTAGCAGCTAAAGCATATATAGCTAAAAACAWTTTAAGATGAAGTATTATTTTTAAGAGAAAATCGAAATTAGAGTAGTATAGGACAAATCTCTTGCTTATATAAAGATACGGTCACGGCAATGATTTTCTATTGTGTTTATCGTATGACTATTAATGAATTTAAGAAGGTTGGAATATTAAGTTTTGATAGCATCCATTTAAGAACAGCTGGGTTTGCTTGTTTTGGCGAATACGATTCTCGGATAGCGCTTATTACCTTCCATTCCACGTATTCAGTCATCTTTTTTAATCTTTTYATTTACCAGGATGCATGTAAAAGAAAGGTTTAAATTAAAGACGCTTTAAAGCATTAAAAGAGATGTTTAATCATACTATTTAGTACATGAATTATCAAATGAAAAATAGAAACATTCTTGTGGCATGGGTTAGCGAAAGAGATAGAGAAAACAACATATATACATTGTGTAGTTGTGGAAATGCTAATTATTGTAACGACCAGAAGGTAAGTAACGAGATTTTGTACAAATACTCAACATATACAAAATGCAGACAACAGTACACAACCGATAGAACTGTTCAAAGGCAAAACTTACGCAAAGTTTCGAGGGAATTTTTAAACTAGTACAATAATTATTTATAGAGKAGTTGAAAGTCACTGGGGGAAATGTCCTGTGTTTTTTTTGAGTGGCATAAAACAACACTGATTAAGTATTCATGTTATGAATACTGCGCTCTATTTCTGTTCTGATAGGAAAGGAAAAGTGTAAACAGTTTTCATTTTCACTCTTAATGAGAAGAAGATATACGATTGTRTTTGTTTGTACTGACGGATCACCTTATATTGTAAGTAGTTTTGAATAAACAATTACCAATTTGAATATACCAAACACCTKGTACTGGACATGTGAGGCGACGAGGAAGAACAATGTTGATATCAACTAGATCGGGTGTAAATTAGCCGGTCTTTCGTTAGCTGGAATCAGTATTTGTAATTAGTATCCTTAGAAACTAATATTGATACCTACAAACAACTGTAAATTAACGAGGAGAATCTSTACTTGAAAAGGGTAAGCTTGCATGTCTTTCGGATGCTTGAGAGTGTAGAAAAATGAGCATACATCTCATCCTATATAATGATGCAGTTCACAACTCATCTATATTTGCACTCATTGTCTGGTTTTGACGGGTTCCTTTGTTCAAAGACTACACGATGCAATGGAAATCGTTATAAATGTCGCACTTTGCTTGAAGGAAATTGATAAAAACTTCTAATAGAGCTCACCTTTCGTTGATTGGGTTAACCTGATCTGCTTTAAACGTCTTGTCAAATCGTTTGAAAATTACTGTTTTTCATTTCTCTCTTTTAAAAATCGTTTGAATTAAATCCAATTTGAAGTTAACTAAAATAACTAAAGATTTGTACTGCACTCTTATTACTTAGTGCCAATGGAGCTTAAAACAAGAGTGCATGCAGCATACATATTTCATTTTCGAGAATATTACACCAAATAAGGTCGGTGAGTTTGTCAGCAAAAGTTCTATTTTCTTTGTGAGTATGTCTGCTGCATCTTCGATGCATCTTACTAATCTAGCTGACAAAGTAGGGAATGTCAGTTATCGAACTATGATTCATAAAACCGCACAGCTGTTAGAAAATCGGATCCTTCAGGGGGAAATTCTACCAAAAAGTACAATTGGAAATAAAATTCTACACCTACAATGAGATCTTTTGAGGCAAAGGGATTGGTTAAACATCTTCAGGCGACATTGAAGTCATATTAAGGCGATAGATTTAAGTATCTTCAATTGATTAGTGTTATCTATGCAGACTTTTAATCAAGATCAACAATATTTGACTGAGGGGAACGTGCTATGCCAGGCAGGCGAATGTTTTTGAAGTGAAGATAATTTTATAAGCTACTCTAGAACAACGCTCAAAACACGCTATTACCTTCATAAAAATCATCTCCTTTTCTGTAACACTTTAAGTACGAAATTGCGATTTTTTGATATCATTGGACTGTAATTTATAGTATAATTTTTTGTTAGACCTCCAGATCCAAAATATGTGTCGCTGTCCCTGACATGTGCATAAAAAATTCCACGCTAATTTTCAACTATTGATTTTTTCAATTTTGTCACATAAATTGAGGATGTAGTTTTCACTAAATTGAAGATGTAGAAACTGAAAAACATATTGATGATTTCTTAGACATAACAAGCACAAGTAATAACAAAGTCGTTTTTTTACCATAAGGGGCCGTTCATTAAATATGCCTCAGGGTGGTCTGGAGGAAAAGTCCAAAAAACCTTGGGAAAATTCGCAGCCACCCTTACTCTATCACAATATTTTTTTCGACCCCCCCTCCTTATGACATTGATGAAAAATACCCCCCCCCCATATATATATATAGCAATGTAACATAGCTAATCCCATAGAGAAATTCTTAACACAAATATATATGTAAGCATCATATCTCGAACATTGTTCATAGCCTGATAATTGTTTTAAATAACATGAAACTTTAAGTCGCTATCCTGCGTGTTTGAGTCGTCTTATAGTTACTACTTGCTGTACAAGTATATAAGTAAATGTACAATGCAGGTAGACATATATACTACTTTGACAGTTGACACTCTTGTTGCTGATCTGACAGWCCCTGTTGTAGTTGTTTAAAAAAAAATATGAAAAATCTTCAAGTTTTTTTAGTTAAAAGATCTAAGGTTTTAGAAACTTTAAAAGGAGTCACAAAAAATCAAGTGAATGCTTATGTACTTACATATTGATATTATATGCCCTGAAACTTCACAAAAATGTAAAGAAAAACACATACATCTCTACTGTGTATTGTGTTTTTCTTTACATTTTTGTGAAGTTTCAGGCCATTTCCTTCAATTTTAAGCGATTTATGCCTGTGATTTTGATTATTCTTATGAAGGCTATTGAAGTAAAAGCTATTGTTGAAGAGTCCCAGGGTTTCAGAGAGCAAAATCCGAGATATTTTTTTAAAGCTTTTTTGCTTTTCTAATGACCGATAAACCTATATATTCTTTTAAAAAATGCCGTATTTGTGCTCTTTTTTCGGCCTCTTCATTTATAAGATATCAAAAGATCTAATCTAATACATCTAAGCAAATGTTACCCGATGTATGGCAATAAGTTTGAAATGACCTATAATCGCACAGAAATCCATTCTATACTGCTTTTTTGATATAAAAACTTGCGTGTATTTAACTTGCGTGTATTTAACGATGCGAACTAAGTCAAACTCTTGTACCAATTAGAGCGTTTGTACTATTTCGTCTAAATGAAATAAGTGCTGATTGTTTTAAATATTATTTCACGGGCTTATACCAATCACGTCTGGCAATGTTTTAAGCCCTGACGACTGACGTCCTAGACCTTAAGCCATTCAATATATCAAATACTGCATGTTTTCAATAACTTTTAAACATTCCATTTCAGTCCTCGGTGCAAGGTCATGATCATGGCGAATCAAGCAAACAACACAACTACAACCCCGCTAAACAGTTCGCAAATAGCTTCCCACGAGCAAGCAACCGTGCTTATACTGAAAGTAGTTGAGGCAGCGTTGTATGGTATTATTGCTGTCATCTCAATCGTTGGAAATAGCTTCCTCATTCTTGCTTACAGAAGAAACATTACTGGTCAGATGCGATCTGTTTATAATCTATTAGTAGCAAGTATTGGAGCAAGTGATCTCTTGTTAGCCATATGGAGTATTCCGGAGAGGATGACTCGAGTGATAATGGACGATGCTTGGCTTATCGACGGAGTAATGGGTAAGGAGTAAATAGTTCTACAAAAAATATATTCTGGCTAGAAATGAATACATAATACCGTTTCGGCCTTCGGCCAGGTCATCTGTTTACCCATTAACCGGTTTCTCCTTTGTAGTTCACCCGTATTCACTAGTTCATAGATACGGTGTATCTTTAAGGCATATCTTTATATTGCATATAAAGGTCCTTGTCAAAGTACGTTTTAGGTGTTTGTGCAATAGACGCAATCAGCCTGTTATTTTGAAGTTTAATAATTTTAGTTGATGCAAACGTATGCCATCGGCAATGGTTGTCTTTTAATATTTGACAAATATTTCATCAGTCTCACAAACAACTGAAAGCCGAGCTTCTATTATAAAACCATGTCTTGACAACATATGAAATCCAAAGACAGTGTGAATTGATACTAAGCTATTGGCCTGAATATCAGGTGGTAAAGAATCAGTGTTTACAGGGCCATCGTCACGACTTTTAGAGTGGTCCGAATCTCGAAAAACAGTTTACCATTAGGAATTGAGCAATTACATTCCTGCAATAAAGACTCCAAAGGAAAGTAGTAAAAACTTCACGGACGAGAGAGAAAAGCGTTTATTTAGTCTATAGAGCAAAGGGAGTTATTTTGTAAAAACAAAAGAAAACTTTTTCCTTGTGTTCACATTTTGTCAAATCTGCCAACTTCGTCTTTCCCTGAACATGAACCTTGATTGGCTGSTTGAAAGCACAGGAARCCCATGTAAAAAAGCTAAAAAGCTGATAATGCATATTGAACTTCTAATGAGCATGTGCATTGTGCTACAATTGAAAGAATTTTTATCCCACACGAAAGAACGGCTAGTCTAGCTATAGTGSATGTCGGCACATTGATTCAAACTGATTTAAAACCTAGCAAAGGTCTATGATGCGGGATTAAAACTGAGACCTTTGCTAGTGTTGGGTTGCGATAAAGCGCTGATGAACAGTGATCAGTTCTTTATATCTGATATAGAACTGATTAATAAAACATCAGTACTTTATCGGATATAAAGGCCCATCATGTGACCCAATAGTTCGATGCTCAYTGGACTAATAGCTCATGAATTATTAATGTTTCTAGAAGAGTTTTTGAATGATAAAGACTGTCAGAATCCAATGATAGTGTCTGAAGGACAAGGCAAAAAGACCAATTAAAAAAAAAACTAATAATGACGCGACAATATGTACACGCTATAGATTTGTTTTCGATCATTACGTTACGGAAGTCATGCTTCAAATATTCATTTTTCCAATTTAGGTGCAGCATGACATCAATCGACCATAACTTTGTTATCATCCTCATACAAAAAACATTTCGAGCGAAATATACTAGTATATTATCACTAACTTGACCAAAATGTCAATAATTCTTTTTAAATATCGACTCCCACGAATTGAAAATGTAAACATCAATCAAAAGACAGAAGTTAGATGGCAGGTAATAGGATAGCTTGATATAAATCTAACAACATTAATTTTAAGCTGTCTAAATGTGTGCAATTAATAACCAGACTACTATTAGTAAGCGGAAGAGCACAGCGGTCTATCGAGACAAGTCGGATRGTCATTTGGTTGTTATTGTACAGCACAACTGAAATCATATGGACAAAAGATATTCATATATCTAAATGGTAAGTATAGT